GAAATTGCAATAAGTTATAGTTATAATCATTCTTTCTGCTCAATCTTAATAATTGTTTCATTTTTTTAATCCGATATAATGGACTTGACAGTGTTAAATCGATATCTTTTGTGAGATCTATCTTTTAAATTGTGCCAAAAAATGTCGTATAGAAAATAATAAATAAAGAATAATGCAAAATGACAAGTAATATTCTTTTTTTTTTTTTTTTCTATCCCAAAGTTCCTAGCAGAACAAAACTAATTGATTTTGCATTTCCTGCTGCAATTTTCATTCCTAAATTTACCATTTTTTCTCCTCTGCTTTAAGCAATTCAAAAATTTCAAAAAAGGAAAAAATTCATTTCAGTTCAAAGAATTTAAAGCAAAGTAAAAATATGCAACTAAACAAAATATGTCATAAATCATATTCATATGTTTGACGGATTTTTATAGTTTCGCTACTGTACATGGGGAAACTTCCCACTGTCTTAAAACATATTTGTCATCACGAAAATCACAAATTACTAATTACTATCTATCTACTACCTATTTACTAATATCTAGCGCATAGTATTTGCTTATTACCGACTACTACAAATAGTGTAGAGTTTAATGACAAGTAGACTCATTGAAGCAGTAGTTTTAGCAAAGGATGATTGATAGTTTATATAAAAAAATGTTTAGGCTATTTAGACAACACTGGTATAAGCGATTAGTAAACGAAACTGTGACCGAACTGGTAATCGAAATAAATTTTCAATCTGATAACTTTATACGAGACATAAATAAATTACGATAATTTTCAAATGCTCAATTTTTAAAGATATTGTTAGTATATTTACAAAAAGAGAGCACGAAATGTTGGATTTGGAAAAGGCGAAAATTTTTTCCAAGCCATGACAACAAGCTATCAAAGTGGATTTTAGAATTCTCAATAAGGCTTACGCATGTACCTCGAGTCTGAGTTCAGGAGGCATAATTTTGCCGGGATAGATCGATCTATCTGGTTCTCCATATTTGTATCGATCATTGGTGACTGATCCTGCAAGCATACTTCATTCGGACTAGTTTAGTGATTTAAAGTTTTTGAAGCAAATTCTTACCAATTATTCAAATCTATCTGGTGATTTTGATTGTAAGCGACAAATAGGCGTAAAACATCGTAATTATGACGTCATTTTCTGTAGGAATCAAATTTTTTGTAGTGCAAGAAACAGAGGATCCAGAAGGATATGGATTAAATTTTAGTTTGAATAATTAGCTAGTTGAAATTGTATTAGGGAAGCTTACTCTTTAAAATAAAATATGAAATTGGAAAACTAAATTTTTGAATACGAATAGGAATGTTATTAAATGTGAATTGGCATATCCGAAGATTTCAGTTCAAAAGATCTGTCACTCAATATGGCTGAGGAAAATACCACCAACCTGCAATTACAACTGTTAATCCAATTTAATGCTAATGTTATATCGATGGAATAGATCTAGATTAGCCAGTTCTTAGTAAACCTAGATAGTCGATAAATATTAAAATTTACCTGAATAAAATAAACAAGAATGATGGTCTAGTGGATGAAGACATATGAGATTGGAAACGTATACGGGAGGATTATTTTTTAAATTATGTGGATCTTTTCCGGTATCATTTCAATGTAAAATACTTTATAATTACAATCATGTGACAAAAAAAGTGACATCACGTGTCAAAAAAGGATATGTCCTCAAATAAGATATTAATTAAAAATATGGTACCAATGGGAAAAATAGGGTATTAACGAAAAATATTAATTAAGTTGAAATAAATTAATATGAAAATAAAAGGAAGGAAGAAATAGAAACTGAACAATATTATTTTGAACATCTCATCAAAGTGATCTATCTCTATCATACAAGTAATAGAAATCGTTTCATCAAAGTTGTACAGCATGCAATAACTGGACAAAAGTTTCAACATCTGTTTACATTCTTCGTTGTCTTCTGTCATTAATTTCACGTCATCAGTTTATTAATTCTACTACTTACTTTTACGTAAATGTGTCTCAAAGTAATTTATAACATCGTCGTCCGTCCTCTTCATTATCTGATCCAGTGATAAATGATAAATACATGAGAGATCACTATCGAATTCATAGCATCATCCTACAGGTATGAATCGAACTTTTGGCACTAAGTGCCATCAATACTCTATTGGAAACGGAAACAATGGAATGATTATTTGACAGTTCTCTGGAATTAACTCTTCTTAATTAATTGTGTGTTTGTCTTACTGTGGTCAAGTTTGATATTAGAAGAATGATTAATAATGTCATATAAGATGACATACCACTATGGACGTATAAAGGCAAAATAATACGAATTCGAAAATGATTCAAGAAGAAAATAGGATTTAAAAGATTTGAAATTAATGAGTGGAAGATTTAAAGATTAAGGAAATAGTAACTATTAAGTCAAAAATAGTATGTTTTAAACTTGGGTTGATTGCCACTCTTTCACTATTAAAAGAGAGAGAGGGAGAGAGAGAATTCATTTGTATAAATTTCAAAAGTTCATAGATCATCATCATCATCATCATGGCTAGGCTTCACGAACACGAAGATCAAGGAAATGCTCTATCCATGCTTGCTGCAAACATGACAAATGTGGATGTATCCTTTAAAATTGAGCAGTGGACGGGGGAATTGACCCTTTTATACTTTATCTTACACTTTATCTTACACTAAGGTTCATCTATTAATGTCGCGACTTAGAACGGTGACAGTGGTTTTGTTTGTTTTGTGTAGGGTTTGTTATAGTATCATTCTCTGAAATGGATGACCTTATAGGACTAAATGAGCTCAATCTTCTGTGCTTCACATTAATTTAAAAAAAAAAAAAGAAAATTCAGAAGTTTTTTCTTGACCAAATATTTTCTTACCCATCATATTAGTACTTTAATGAAATTAATCTTTAGACTTTTGTAAATTCCATGAGAATTTTATTTACTCGGTATTTTTCAAGCTATCTTACAAGTTATCTATAACCTTACCGTAAATAAATAGTATAGATTTCATCCTGTACTTTTTGCACATGCCTTATTTGAATCGTTCATAGATTCTTTTCGTTCAAAACCAATGATTAATTTAAATTTGAGTCAATTAAACAAAAAAACTGAAATGCTTGCTTATATCATGTAACTTCTCGGGAAAACTTTCCGTGAGGATTTCCGCAATTTGTACTTTTTGCGTATTGGTTTTTTTTAAAGTATGCGACACATAATTTTCAATTTTATTATTCAAAACGTTTTTCGATCTTCAACTCATTGTACTTATTAATTTCTGGAATATATGACAGTATCGATTGCATTTTTTGGGCTTAATTAAAATTTAATTTATTGCAATCCTTCAATTATTCGTGATTATTTCTATTGAACT